CTCCCCGTGTACGGTCCCGGGTCCTTTTTGTGTGGAGTTCGCACGCTCTCCCCGTGTTCGGTCCCGGGTCCTTTCCGTGTGGAGTTCGCACGCTCTCCTTTTTCGCCGGGGGCTCCGGTTTCCTCCCACGGTCCAAAAGCGTGCAGGATAGGTTGACTGGTGAGTCTAAATTGGCCCTGTAGTTGTGTGCATGTGAGTGTGTGCACCCTGTGGTGTGTTGGCACCCGCCCAGGGTTGGTTCCCGTCTGTGCCCATTGTTGATAGGGTCCGGTCCTCCCCGTGACCCCAGTTGGGATTCAGCGGTTTCAGAAAGTGGATGGATGGATGGTGGACATTCCTATTTAATACATGAATGCAGGCCTGGGGCTGTGAGTGACACGGTGCCACAGCAGGGACTGTGTACAGGTATGTAGTAGCCATGCCATGAAGTGTGTTTGCTCACAGGGACTTACAACTTGACATACAACAAAACAAGGGTGCAGAATAAGCCAGAAGCAAACTAGGGACCCAAGACAGACAACTGAAATCAGCAAGTATTTGGGAACAAAGGAAAGAGAGAAATGCAAGGAGTGAGCGAGCAGGACACTGGAACAGACACCTGACACCACTAGGGGCACAAGACCAACAAGACTCAGCATGACCAGGACACATGGCGACACTGGACATATTACACCAGGCATGTAGATCAGGGTCTCATGAGTACCACCAGGAATAAACATGGCAACAGGAGCAGGAAAGCAAAGAATGACACAGGGACAGATAAAACCAGATAGACAGTGACAGGGTCCATAAGGACAACAAAGGGAAAGGAGGGAAACACCAGACAGGAAACAATAACTGTGTAGCAAGCAGGGGCAAGCAACCAGGCATTATGGGAGGCAGAGACAAAAGTCCAGGGTATCTCACAGACTCTGGGGTGCTGCGAATGGGTCGTGGTGGTCGGGACCTCTGGAGTTCATGCTCTGAAGGGAACGAGCTTGTCCTATTTGTGGGGCCCTCAACGGGCCTGCAGGAGCTGAGAAACAGACAGAGTGAATGGATGCCAAGAGGCAGGCAGGGCCGGAGGGCGCTGAGAGGCAGGCAGGGCTGGAGGGCCCTGAGAGGCAGGCAGGGCCGGAGGGCGCTGAGAGGCAGGCAGGGCT